TGGTAGGTGTAGGTTGTAATGCTGGCAGGTCATTTATAACCCGCTGTTGTCCCCTTGCTGCATTTTCCCCAGCGATAGCATGTGGCTCAGGCAGAGTACATCGATCAGGGACTGGAGACCAATTTACTTAGAGAAGAGACAGATAAAGAGTGAAAGTAAAAACGTGCATTATATTTTTATCGAGGGAGAAATTAGGAAGAGAAAGAAGAGTTTATACATATTATTCCACTATCAGAGGTAGAAGTGGGGTCAGAGATGATTTTATCATTTAAAACAGAATGTGGTGAAGTACTGTAAGCATAGAGCCTGAGGCCGCGGAGGTTATCAGGTCAAATCACGGCATCACCATCATTATAACGGCTCTGTGTGGTGGAATCTGACGGACAGACGAGGTGGAGTTAGGGCTGAGACTACAGAGAGAGGGGGGATCTAGAGGGTGGATGACCGAGGCTATATATAGAGAGTTGCTGAGGAGAGAACAACAGAGAGGCTTTTGAATTTTTTAGAGTGATTCTAGATGTATGAGGCAAAGATTGGAGTGAATTAGTGTGAAATGCACATGCAGTGAATTTATTTCAGATCTTAGACTTTAATGCCCTTTGCAGCTGCTTTCCATAAATATATTTTTGTGTGCATTTTGAAGTATGCCTTGAGAGTAGATGTACGAAAATTATAAAATACTTACTTGATTGCACTTAAAAGTTCTTAACTCGCTTGAGGTATGTTTGCCTTTGTCAAAAAAAGTTGACCTGCTAAACTGAATATGGAAACGCCTTTGAGTTCTGGCAAAGCGGGGATTAAACTCACATGACTGATCAGCTGTTCCCACTGTCTGTGTCTTTCTGGATATTCCCATAAACAAACATACAGTTTTGCCTTCATCTCTGGACAGCATGAAACATAACCAGTATTAACTGACATGAAAGAACAATTGAGTCATGTCTAGTCTAAATGAATTTCTGAAGATCTCTAAATATTTCTCTCAGTTTGATGGCCAAGGCGAATTGTTTTGTTTCCGGGTTGCACCTTCTACTTCTTCTACTCTGTTTGCTGGCAGATTACAGCCATTAAGCCACATCTGATGAAACTACACCTTGTATAGCCAAGTTTATTTGTTTTAAACCAGTTAATAGTTCTCTCAGTTTCAAGGTAGGCACCCAAGATTACTGTCACCAATCCAGTATCTGATCAAATGTCTCCCCTTCTGTTCCTGAGATATGACGCTGAGTAATGGCCAGAAAACTGTTTCATGCAGAATATTATGATGTCACAGTGAAGTTGACCTTTGAACTTTTGGATATAAAATGCCATCACTTCATCATTATATCCTGTCAGACATTTGTGTGAAGTTTTGTCATAATTAGCCTAAGAATTCTTGAGTTATGGCCAAAAACATGTTATGTGAGGTCACAATGACCTTGACCTTTGACTTTCGACCACCAAATTTAATACAGTTTATTCTTCAGTCCAAGTGGACGTTTGTGTCAAATTTGAAGAAATTCCCTTAAGGTGTTTTATCATGTTCACGAGAATGAGAGGGATGCAAGGTGACATTGACCTTTGTCCTACAGTATAACCACCAAAATCCAATTAGTTCATTGCTGAGTCTAAGAAGACACCAAAAGACGCCAAGACGTTTGTGCCAAATTTAGATCAGCTCTCTTTTTAGCTTATACAGTGTAAAGCTGCAGCCATGAAAGGACACAAGCGCATTTTTGCATCTGTCACTGGATCCATGTTTGGAGGTGATAACATACCTGTCATATTGTTTTAAGTGAGACTGTAACTTTTGTAAGAAGAAACAACTTTCAGATTAAAAGCTGAATTCTTAAGGCAAAATTGCACCCTTGCTCAATTTCATACATTCAAAGGTTTTGTCGACAGAGAGTTTGTTTTTTCTCAAACGACAGCAGTGTTGAACTCTGTATCCGAAATTCATTCAGACATTCTCTCCCCCTCAGCCTCACCTTGAGCTACCCAGCAGTGTGTATATTTGGTGTACTGTATGTGTGTGTAAGTGATTTCTGCCTGGTTAACTCCACATCCTGGAGCGCAACTGGTTTTCTATTATCATCAGTGTGTGTGTGTGTGTGTCAGATTGATAAAGAGCACAAGAAAGAGTCAGAAAAAGCCCAAAAAGAGAGAAAGAAGCAGAGTTAAATGAGAGAGATAAAAGTTGTCAGGGAGCGCTTTGGGCCGAGGGACCATCTGTTGCTGAAACAATTCATTTCCAGCCTCCTCTGCTGCTCACTTCATTCACATGCACACATCTGGTGTTTCGCAGCGTCGCTTTACTGCTCAAACATCCACTCAGGCTTTAGGCCCGAGTAATTATGTTCAAGATTGTCCAAAAAATGATCACTTTTGTCTTCAAGATACAAATAGATAGGTGTATTATTGTGAAGCTTGGGCACTCAAAACCACCTGAAAGACTTTACAGCAGACGATGGAAATGAAATAAAGCTTCAGCGGCAATCAGGTAATCATTTTGGACTATCAAATGTCAGAACAATGAAATTGCTCATCGTACTATTCTACAACCAAAGATGACGTCTTCAGTTGTCTTGTTTTGCCCCCAAGAAATTCAATTTACTCTAATATAAAACAGAGCAAATCAGCAAATCTAAGAATTTACCAGATGAGACTTGGAAATCTTTGATGGTATAAAATCTGCTCTGGATAATGGTGCTCCTTTACAAATTATAACACTTGTTATTTTCTCTGTTTACATTCAGAAATACTGTATATATACATACAGCATTATTACAAGCTCTGAGCAGCCTTAGAAGTTAATCTGTTCATTATCTTTGATTTGATTAATTACAGGTTTGAATAATTGCTTGATTTCATTCCTTTACACTATTTGATGACATCCTCTAGAGCAGTGATACTCAACTTAAGGCCTGGCCTGCCAACCATTTTCTAATTCACAATGAAAACAAATGTATTCATACTGGGATTTTTTAAGTGTAATTAAGGTGCCAAAGTGCATAAAACAGCATCAAAATATACTTTTTACATCAAAAAATTGCCAGGAGAGCATTCTCTGAACCTCTGTCAGAGGTTGGGGCTAGGGCCAGAGTATCCTCAAATCCTGGAAATGCCCTTGTGTACACCAGACCTGTGTGAAGCTGCTCGTCTGTTTTTGCCTCTTGGCAAAGTTGAGTGGGGACATCACACGCTGAAAGGTTGAAAACTGGCAATTTAATGAAAATTAGACAGAAGAATTTGCCTTCATTTGCTCAAATAAATACTATTAATGTTTGTTTATTAACTGGCCCCTGACCTCCTGTCATTTTGCAGAAACAGCCCCTGGGCAAAGCAAGTTGAGTGTCCCTGCTCCAGAGCTCATGCTATTGTACATTTAAAAACAATTCAGAATTGGTGCAATAGACTAAATTGCACACGTTTAAGGGAGGTAATATGGTCCATTTCCTGTCTTTACAGTCCTTCAGTAGCTCTGTTTACTGCCTCCTCTTCTTCTTCTTCTTCTTCTTCTTCTTTTTCCTCCCTTGTTTCCTTTTTCGTCTCCTCCTCTGTTTTGCTGTGCCTCTTTTTAAAGGTTGGAGGTCAGAGGTCAGGGACTGTGTGAAAGAGGGCTTTATCTGAGTGGAAAGGTCTATGAAGAGCACACTTCCTCTGACCCTGAGTCAAACACACACACACGCACGCACACACACACACACACACACACACACACACACACACACACACAGACTACATACAGATGTCAAGCATTGTTGCTTCACCTTAGCAGAAAGTCCAGATGTTACAGTCTTTGTATCTCATTAAGCACATCTGTGACATCCGTCTGTGTGCACCCAAGCACACTCATCATACATATATACATACTGTGTTACATGTTGCAGGTAAAACTTAGTGACTGTTCGCATCAAGGGTCAGTTACAGTAATATGATCAAACAGAACCAGGTCCTATGATGTGCAGTTTGACTACGTCGGATCAACACATAAAAACCTTTACTTTGCTTGACATCATGCTGTCCTTTACCTTTATCTTACTGTAACTCAGTTTTATTTTACTGTAATTGGACACCTCATTGCAGTGTCAAGAAAGTCTTATTTGATTGGGTTTCTATGGTTAGCTGGCTACGAAGGTGGTATTATCATGTAGAATCATTATGATTTATCAGTGAAAAATCATTTGTTTAGATCCCAAAACACAAGGAAGTGAAAAGCATGCCAATCTGACGGTCAGCTGTCAGACAACGTCCGGTTGACAGTCCTAGTTTTTGTGGTGTGTCCCACACTGTTGGCACATGTTGGCCTTTGTCTGCTTTTTTGGGCTGATTTAGCATGTTGAATCGACGTCAATTAAATCACTCTGTTTGGCAGTTCAGCTCAGCGCACGAGAAGTGAAATGGAAGTGAGGAAAGTAAACAAATGGCTGAAGTCAAGAGGGCATGAGATCAAAACAAACTTGTTATATGTTGTAACATTATTTTTTTTAGCCCTTTGAGCTCTTTAACAGAAACAGTTGTTATAATTTAGTTTGTTGATCATGGTAACAATCCTTTGCTCTTTCAGCATGGGGTTGGGTTGTTAATGTGCTAACTGGCTAACTAGCGTCTTGAATCCATCCTGTCAGTCTTCCTATTTCCCTTTTGAATGAGGAAAACAGACTACCACCGCCTGCTGGTACAGAGAGTGGCCTTTGTCACCAATAGTTCTCTAATGTCAGTTTTGTGTGTCTGAGCCTTGAGTTGTGTGTGCCTGGTGTTGTGCATTAGCGAATCACTGTGACACACTCTCAGAGCTGACTTCTCACATTCCTTTATTGTTCTGCACCGCTGTTATCTACTGACACGTTCCTCTCAAAATAAGAGCACACTGCATTACCAACTCTGACTCCACCATGTCTGCTCAGAGCTGGAAAACCACTCTGGTCACCAGGGGGTTCATCACCTTATGTAACCAAATACTCCTCTTTCCTGCTGGATGTGTTACTTAACTTCAGTCCCTATGTGTGTTTGTGCTCCAGGGGGCCCGTGTTTGGGTCAGAGAGAAGGAGCAGCTGGTTCCTGGCACAGTCAACTCCTGCGGAGATGGAACTCTTGTCATCACAATTGACTATGGCGAGGTAAGAAATGTATACGCACTCACAGGGCAGCTGATACACACTCACCTCCTATAACTTCCTACACAAGTCTCGTGCTTTACCTGCAAGACATTTTTATGCCTTTGTTCTTCATCTGTGATGTGAAAATATCAGATTGTCACACAGTCAGAGAAATGAAAAGTGTGCGTCCTAGACATAGTTGGGTTTTACGGTCGTAGCACAGCACAGAGCACCTCTCCTGCGTGACTGCTGACAGCGCTGTCAGCAGAGGAGGCAGTCAACCTCACCAGAAGGGTATACCAGTGCCTGGTTCAAAAGTAGTTTAGTCAGCTTTGCTAACATTCTGCACTGCAGCTGAGAGCATCGGAGCCGCGAACAAAACTGCCATTTTCAGAACGCCTCCTAACCCCTCTACCCTCCCCTCTCCATCACAGTTATTTTGTAGTCAAGTAATTCTGAAACAGGACTCCGTTTGTAAAGCTGGTTTCCTATTTGACTAAAAAACCTCACTAACACTCAGTAACATCTTTTGTCTTTAGTGGGAAAGGTTATAATTGTACTTATACTTGTCTGCAGAGTCAGGCAGAACACATGACTGCCGTTGTCACAGGTATTTATCTGCTCCAGCTCCAATCGGCCAATCCCTTTTCCTGCACGGCCATCGGTTACTCTTTGTCACCTCAACCAAAAATTCTGGCCAGCTCCATCCAATTAGTGCTTGAACATCTTTCCAAATTAGTTGGCACTGAGTTTGAAAGAGAGACTGAATAAGTAACATGAAAAAGAAGTAACCACCTTAACATTGTCACTGGCCTCCATGCCAGGCCCCTAGGTAGAGCTCCAGACTTTGAAACCGATTTCACATAGGGACCAAGCTGTGTAGCTACAACCTCCTAGTCTGTCATGTGATGCCATGTCAAGCCCATAGACTTAAACTGGGAAGACGTCTGTTTATCAGTGGACATATTGTTTTTGAGTGTCACAGCCCCACCGAAATGAGTCGTTCCACCATCGGAATTTGATCCATTTGGTCTGACAACATTTGGAAGGCCTAGAAGAGCTACAAGATTAAATCATTTGATCCCCATTCAAGCTAGTGAAGGGATAACCATAAGTAGCTGGCTTGGCTGACAGAAGTCTTACTCTAACCTCTTACGGTGCTTACTAGATCCAGGTAATTTTACACCCGTAAAATAGAACTTTTTTGGCCTTGAGCGCCACTGAGCAACTTTTATAGGAATGAACAGGGCACCGCCTCAAACGCTGCATCCAGTTCACTTTATACATCCATGCTCCATGCTGCTTTCTACTGTTTACTAACTCTTTCTGGTGACATTTAACATGACACACCAGGGAAAAAAAAACACAGAAAGCCATACTCATCTACTGGCAATGGGAGAGCAGTCTATTGCCTATTCTTAGTGGCTTTCCCTGTGTTTAAAAAACCAACATCTATGTGCTTTTTGGTAGAAAAAGAGTATAAGAGTTTAAACCCTTCCATGCTGGTGCTCCCTCATCGACATTTATTCTCAGTTATTTATTTGTATCCCCATTGGCTGCATCTAAAGTAGCACCACTCTTTCTGGAGTCCACACAAAACATAACTTTGTAAAGCATGACATACAACACATTTGAAAAAAGTCTCAGAAAGCACAAGTAAAAGTGAAGTGAAAAAGCAAACATCACAAAACATCAAACTCCATTTTAATTTTAATTGCTTACGTTTAGGGGGCAGCCTTCAAATAAACCCATTTTAATTCTAACTGGGGGTGTTGCTGTTTGTGGTTGGCGCCTTGGAGAGGCCACCACAGTGCCTCAGTTACACAGGTACTTCATTAAAGCTGTGATGATCTGGAAAAAATATTATTTTTTTATGTGAAGGAGGCTGTTTATTTAGCAAACAGTATAAACTGGAGCAAATTGCAAACACTCTGCAGACTGAAAACACATTTAATTAGTTTCAACCACACAGGACACGTAAACAGTGTCAGCATCAGATGACTGCTGAGCGAAAGCTGCAGGTGTTGCCTGCTATATGTCACCTGGACTGTGCATCAGATAAAGGTCAGAGTGAAGGTGAAGCAGCTGTGCAGGTTCATCCTCTCCTGTGTGGATCAATCAATACAAACTCCTGGTCATGATGCTCCACTTCCCTGCCCCACTTCCTTCCTCCTCCTCCTCCTCTTCCTCATACATATGCAAAATTCATCCCTGACACACATTCAGCCTCCAGAGAGCTAGAATAGACGGAGAGCATTACGGGAGCACAACTGCACATTTCAGGATGTCAGATGTCAGAGCGGCTGCTCCAGCTCGGGCCCTTTAACACCAAACCCCCTGCCAAAATAATGGAATTGAATGTTTAAATCTCGTTATGAGTGTGTGTATGCGTGTGTGTGCTCATCTAATCTGCGACAGAGCAAGGACATGCACACGTTGGATTTAATGTTTTTTTGATGGCTGATGTGTTTGGCACACACACGCATACAAACACACACATGCGCTCCAGTTGGCAGCGTTTAGATGGAGCTAATAATAGACTTGGTTCTTTGGCCCGAATTCAAGAGTCTCAATCCTGCCTTTATGCCCCCAAAGAACATCCACATGCAGGCCCTCTTTCACAGACGTACAATGAATTCATGTTTGGCCTTTAAGACATAAAATGGCCCAACGCTGCTCTAAAAGCATCATCTTTTGATGTAGCTGCTTCTCTGTTCTTGTTCAGGGACACAGAGGGGACGGGTAGGCATTTCCCAAAATAGAGGATTGGTTATAGGAGCAGGCATTCTCTTCGCTTTGGATTATGAATGTCCTTAACCTCCCCAACCCCCATCAACCCACCTCTGCCTAGCTTTCCCTCCTCCGCCCTCCCTCTCTGCTAGCACGTGGTGTTTAAATGTTAGCTCTGCAGGAGCTGGTGAATATTTGATAGAGAATCAGCAGGACTGGGGGGCTTTACCCTGTTACAACAGGATCTGACCCATGCAAACAGTCCCAGGATCCCCATCGCTCCCTGCTGCTCTGCCCTGGGTTCCCATGATCATAAATTCATTTTTGATTCAAGTATCCAGAGCGGACCCTCGAGGCATTTTTTAATAGTTGGTGGCTGGTAGAACAAGAAACATGCAACATTTAGCAGTGTTTGACTGGTTTCTTTTTTGTTTTACTTTTACTTTCCTCGCTCATATTCTGCTCCCAGCTGCCATGTCACTCTGGTTCTGTAATCTACAGGCCCTGACCCAGTTCAACACATTACCAATTCTGGGTTACAAATGCTTTGGCTGCAAAACTACAAGCCTTCATGTCAAATCAGCACAGCTCACAACTACCAGGGGTATATGTGCAAGCCTTTACATCATTCATAGTTTTACCCTGAGTGAGTTTTCAGAACAGACAACATCCTACGAATATTCAAGTTTACTGTGGATGTTTGGAGTGAGTTCCTCTGTCTCCTCATCTCAGATGTTTGTGATGACCTGCTGACCGATCTTTTGTTTTGTGAAAGTAGTGATTGTACTGTCTCATTGATTGCATGGTACACAATCACCCATACTTTAGCCCCTCTTCTCTCTAGCACATAAAGATATGAGCATCTTTCCTACGCTGCAGAGTGCCAAATGAAAAGAGTCGGCCTCTGCGGCAGACATGCTGCAGCTCAGCTTGTCATTTCAGAAAGGTTAGATGTGTGTTGCTTGTTTGATGGGATATAAAGGCTATCAAGACTGACTTGACCCTTCGCTAAGTCCTGCCCCTCAAACGCAGACTGGCCAATTATAGTGCATTGAGTGTTCACTTCAATGCACCAAAGCATCTATATGTGAGTTGAATACACAGCAGCATGGCCCTCAAGTCAAAGGCTGACGTCTGAACTCTTCAGCTGCAGTGCAAGCTGCTGTGATCCATTGATTCAGCTCCTCTTGGGATCTCCCAGGGTGCTCCCATCCCAACCAATACTGGATGTTTGAGGAAAATACAGGTATTGATATTGACTGTTACAAGAAAGATAGGTAATGTTTTCTTTGGATTGACTCTGGGGTCTCCACCCAGTTGGATGTGCCTAGAATAACTCCAAAGGTTGGCCTCCAGGAGGTATCATGAACAGATGCCTGCACCACCTCCACCTTTCCTTTTCAAAGTGAAAAGGTTTTTATGCCGAACTCCTTTCAATCTGAGCTCCTCGTGCTGTCCCAGAGAGCCCAGACATCCTGCGCAGGAAACCCATTTAATTTGCTTGTATTTGCATCATTCTTCCAGTCACTACCTTAAGTTCATGACTGGAAGGTAAATTAATCAGTAAAACATGTGGATCTCGCTTAGATATATCATATTATATATGTCATATATCATCCAAGGTTTTGTCTTTTCTTTTTTAAAGAGATACTTTGCCGATTTTCAACCAGCTTCGTGTCAAAACAATGTGGGCAGCATGTGTAAATGAATTGTGGTAAACTTCCCTCCATGTAACCAGTGCCTAGATATCCCCCCTCACTCCCTGGCTCTTGGGCTGTTGCTTCAACTACAGGCTGTACTTCTGCTTTTTTCCTCCACTGTGGACACAAAGAATATGGAAGCAGATTGAGACAGATCCACCCCTCTTCTCTCGCACCAAAATCCGAACAGATCAGACGATAAAACTATAGGCACTGCTGATCGAATATATATCAAGATTATTACTGTACTGCCTTTTTCTCCCATACAATCTGTTTAGTAACATATTTCAGTGCTGTGTTTAGCTGTAATAGCAAGAGTTTGTGAACAGGAAGTTGGTGCCATACTAGTCTCGCCACAGGCAATCAGAGATCTCCGCCTTCTGATAGTCTGGGGACACTCCTTTCTAAAGTGTGTTTAACACACCGGAGAAAACGGCCGGCAACAAAGCAACGCCTCTTGCATTTTTGAAAAGGACACGCCCTCCCGGAAATGTGCGCTCCCCTTTTTCTCGTCTGCAAGGAAACAAACACACAGAGAGCTTGAAAATGGATGCCGAGAGATTTAACTCAGTTTTATCAAACACGTGCTCA